ACCTTTTTCAACAAGATAGGGGATTCCTTGGCCGTTGTAAGTCATAAAGCACCCACGCCTTCGCAGCAAATTGATGAATAGTTTATTACCTTTTATCTACGTCTGTAGGTTATGAGCCTACACTAACAACGTAATTCACAAGACCGCCTAGAATGGTCAAGTTTTGTCATCCTACTCTGGGAGATGAACCAACATACCATTAAGTTGCTTGATCTGGAGCCACAATTTTTTTTCATCCAAAAGGAATACTAAGATGTATTCCTGTACGGTCCTACCGTACATCGACACCTAATAGTGTCATAGGTTAGAGGTTTACTCTCCGTTCCTAACACACATGCCCATAACATGATGCTACTAATTATTCAAACCTAATGGAACTAAGAATCCTTTATATGTCTTATTTCCATACTAGGCAAGACTACCGAGCTTATGAACTTTCCTTGAAATACCAATTCTATTTTAGGCAACCCTTTCCTATATTAACATAATTATTTATATTTTCTTATTCTTTCTCACTAATAATACTCCGATTAATTATTATCATATTATCTATATACTATAATACATATAGAACCATATTTAGTTCACACCTTGTATATAAACACTTATATTTCTACCACATATTTCAGGCATAAAAGCATATAGTTCACAAATATTTAATACTTTCCAAAATTATTTATATAAAAATTACGTTCATGAAAAGGACTATGAACTCACTTGATAAAATGGGTGACTGACGATTTTGGTAGCGCTTCGCTTCACACTTCCAAAGAGACCTAAACATAGAAAGCACTAAGCCTTAGTCTAGTTTCATAATCATGGCGACTATTTAAGGATAGTCTAGATTCCTCAATAATCCTAATGTCTACATTAAGATCTATCAAGTAAGGAATAACCATGTTAGATCATATCGCAAGTAGAGTCCTTTTGGTATACAAAGTATACTGTTTGGGAATCCCACTTTAAACACCTCACTAAATACAACTTAAAAATCGTTTCCATAAGTAGATAAATTACTATAATAACTTGGAATAACTAATAAATTTTAATTATAGGTTCATAATAACGACCATGACTATAATTAAAAGTTAATAAATAAGCGAAGCTTAACTTACAGAGTAATTTAGTGAAAACCGGGAATTATGTGGGTAGAACTGCAATACGGGAGCTTTTATTCATCGATTATCTGGCATCGCAGGGCCTCACTAAAGTAGCCGAAAACTCGAGAGGGAGTATAGGGGCTAAAGCTAGAAAGTATTCTAGAGAGAACTAAAGTGAAGGATGTTAAGAAAAGTGTTGAAATCGAAGGTTTATATAGCCTGAATCGGGGGGGGGGGGGCACAGATCAGGTGCGCGTCACGCATCTGGTCGGGAGATGATGACATGTCGTCTTTAGTGTGGTGCCATGTGTCAAGCATCTAGTGGAGTGTCAGTGTGCGCCGCGCTTACTGTCTGGGCGTGCGGCTGCGCGCAAAGATTTCTATTTTCTATGAAAATTCATTTCTTCTCCATACAAGCTCTGTTTTTGATGGGTTAATAAATCCCCTGATAGGTATTGACGAGATCTAATTTTGAATTTATATTTAAAGTTATACTTTTACAGGCTTAGACTGTTAAAGTTCGTGTAAAAATCATAACTCTCTTATATGGTATTCGTTCTCAACCGTCTTTATATCGATGGATAGGTATGAATGAGATCTTCAATTATCATTTAGATTCTTTTTTCATAACAATTGACTAATATAAAATTTTGTATTAGTGTTACACACTATTACGCTGAAATTTAGAAAAATCACAACTTTCTCTAACAAAGTCAGATATGGGCGTTCTTTGTATGTACGGGTTCTCTTTCGTGATTCCTACTACTTTCATTTAGATTACTTATGCTAATAAGCAACATATCTCCAATTTACTATTTACGATACACTATTTGAACGAGAAACTTCGGAAGTCTATAACTTTTGCATACGAAGTCGGATTTGAGTGTGCTTTATATGTATGAGATTCACATCGCAATTCCTACATTTTTCGTCACGATTATTTGCCCTAAATGATCTTCTATCAAGATTGTCATTTTGTTGCTTATCGATAAATTAATAAAATGGTTGTATAATACGAAGTCTACAATGAGTAAAACTAATGATAATCCTAATCAAGGATTTATATTTCTACTTATTATCTATTGTATCTTAAATGTCTAGCCCGAAGTTGTAAGCGTTACAGTGTCGTATCTTTGGGATCTCAGGAATTGTTCGGGAGGTAAGAAGACTTGGAATTCGAGAGAGAATGTGATTTTGAGGTGTGCAGAAATGAGCGGCCACACCTCACTATTTATAGAATGTGAGTTTGAGTTTGAGGGAAACAATTAAGAACTAAGGTGTACATGTGGCTCCATCAGAGAGCTGCAACGTGTCATCCTCTCCTTGTGCTATGTCACATGTATCCTGACGAATTGTGACATCCCTAAATTTATGACCATTTTTAAAACTTTTCTATATGCTTTTTTTTTTAAAAAGAAAATTAGAGTGATCCTTATAGATGCGAAATTTGTCCCATAAAAATTATTTCCGAAGAGAAATGTTTTTCATTGATTACTAAAAACTTGGGATGTCATAAGTGATTCCAAATATAAGCATAATAGGCCATATATCAATATTATTGTAGCCTACAAACTCCTTAAATCTCTAAGCAGATAATTACATTATTTATTAGTACCTTCGTAACGCTACATGTGATACAGACAAACTAAGTGGGTCATGTTGTGATATTAATGAGATCTTCAACTCTCGTTTAGATTGTTTTTCTTAAAAATTGACCGGTTTCAATTTCGGTTTCTGAGCCGTCAATTGCTACGCTGTAACTTTGAAAAACCATAACTTCCTCTCACGAAATCATATTTGGACGTTCTATATATTCCCGTTCTCAGTTTTACGACTACTACGACTTTCATTTGGATTATTTAGGATAATAAGAAATATATTAAAAATTCACTTTTTACGATACGTAGAGCCGTGTCGGTTTAACCGCAAAATTTCAAAGAAGCATAACTTCTTCATACGAAGTCGGATTTCAGAGTTCTTTGTATGTACGGAATCTTTTTCATATTATTTATCATAAATAATCTTCTATCAAAAATCATTTTTGTCACTTATTATTTATTATATGTATAACCCAAATCTACGGGTGTTACATGAATGGATGCGTTACATGTGGAAGTATGCGTGTGACAAAAAACGGCTTTCCAAATTTCATATATCCCACATACGAAATATGTTATCGACGTTTCTTATATCTACTCAAAGGTATTGACGTGTACTACAACTTTCCTTTACGTTGTTCTGGCTGATTCCAACTTCTATTTTTAGCCTATATTTTATATCGGTAATGATTTTATAAAAATCATAACGCTCTCATACGGGTTCCGTTTTCGATGTTCTTTGTTTCAAAAAATTTATATCAAGGAGTATTACGATTTTCCTTTTGGTGACTTTAGCTAAAAGTCAATTGTTCTCTTCGTAACTTTTTACGTTGCAACTTTTTGTGCGCGGTTGATTTTTATATTTTAGAAAATCATATTTCCTCTATACGAAATCGAATTTTCACAAATTTTATATTTTCGGAATCATGTCGACGTGTACTTTCAAAATATGCTATCCAATTCGTAGGGTGTTACGACTTTTTGTGCTCCTTGTTCTTGGCTTTACTGCCTAATTGACAACGTTTTTACGAGTATGTAGTTACGAAATTGTTTGTCTTTTTTAACATGACATAAATGTTACAACCTTATTCTATTACATTTATTTATGTCACTATTCATATTGGCGTGTGGTGACACATTTTCCTCGGTTGCCACAATGTGGCATATGGTTTATGAGAAAACAGGAGTAGAGACTGCATCGGCCCAAAATGTTTTTAGAACGACCATTTGAAAGTGTTCGAGCTAATTCAAGAAGGTGACGATTTTTTTTTTTTGGTTTAACAACTCCATTTTGGGCAGGTGTATCAACACAAACGATTCATGAAGAATACCTTGTTGAAGCATGTATGACCGAAAGGTTTCACAGGTATATTCTTTTGCATTATCACTAAGCAAAATTTTCATGAAGATACTAAATTATGTTTTAATCTCAGCAACAAATGAACAAAAATGGGTGAATACCTCTAGCGATTTTCATAAAATATTACCAAGTAATACCAAAATAATCATCCACAAGTCACAAAATATTTGAACCCGGTTTTAGAAGTAATGGGACAAGGAACCCATACATCAAAGTGAACTAATTCAAATGGGGATGCAACTCGTTTATTAGCTTTAGGGTTCAAACGAACACGTTGATGTTTAACAAACTGACACGGCTTAAAATTTAGGGATGACAAATGACTAAATTGGGGATATAATTTCTTAAGAGATGGATGACCAAAAAAGCAATGTAATTCAAATGGAGATAACGACATCAATCCTAGTAGGGATTCCCGTACCTCGGGTTCGAATACATAAAGTCTACCAGATTCTCGTCCTCTACCAATTATTTGCTTTGTTGAAAGATCTTGAAAACAACAATAATTAGGGAAAACACAACACTACAGTTCAATCCACAAGTAATTTTACTGACTGATAGTAAATTAAACGAGAAATTAAGGAGTCTTAAAACAAAAGATAATGAAATAAATGGGGCAAGATCAATAGTGCCAGGTCTTAGAACTTAAAGGGGTATACCCATTGACAATTGTACCTTAGGATGTAGATGTATGAGTATAAGAATCATACAAGAGATGATGGGTACATTTCATATGATTTGAAGCACCTAAATCGATGACCCATTAATCTTAAAAAGAGGCAACAGGCGAATGTGAATTTTTGTATCCTAAAAATTGAGCATACTCTCCCACAATATATAGTAACAGTCTTAGAACCAAAACCAAAAGTAAAAACGGAAGCATGAATTCCAAGTGTAATATCAAAACCAGAAACATAAATTTTTTACCATTTATAGTCATTTTCAAATCACTCCCAGGATTAGGTCAGCATTCTACACAATGTCAGCAAAAGAAACAATGTATTTACAGGGTGCCCAAATCAAAAAAACTCGTAAATGACACTCACATTATGCCCTAATTAGAAAACTCAAAAGCGACACAATACCAAAAACTTGATGAATAGTACTCGTTGAACAATGTCGATGAACAATCCTTGTGAATAATGTCAATGAACAATATCTCAAAAAATACCATGCTTATCGCAAAACATATTCCAACCCCTAAACCTGGGCTCTGATACCATGTAAACTAAAAAGAGATTGAAGGTGAAAATACTAGACTGATTATTCATCTTTAAAAAGGAAACGTATAAAACTCCATATAAAGGTAAGAACCCTAATTATAGAAAACCCTATAGACCCATAAGCTAACTATGCCAAAACTAATACATACAATATTTACATTCTAACACATATAATCTATGAAGCATTGTCTACACCACAATCACAACATTTTAGTGAAAAATGGTAGTAAAAGTTGAAAATACTCAAAAACAACAAAAACCACATATTCCATAACTTTCAAGCAATTCCAAACCAACAACCATATAATAAGCACAATTGTGGGGCTAAATGATCACAAATTAATAAACATGTGCCCTATGTCCTCTTCCTAACCAAAACACCACATCAAATCTCAATTCTTTTAAATAATCTAAAATACAATAAAGTCAAAATAATGACCATTTTCCTTTTCTTCTATTTCTATACACATTACTACATCCTTAAAAGCAACCATTTTCATTCAAGGATCCATTTCTCACTTTATCGTCTTCTTCTTATCGGTAGTTACCCCAACAACAACATTGCTTACCAATTTTCCACTCTCATCAACAGACATCGGATTTTCAACTACTACAGTTTGATTATGAGAGTGAGGTGTTGCCTACACAAAAGAAATAGCAACGTACTTTCATTTACTATAATATCCATGATTGGAAAATTGGAAGATAAAGAGATCTAATTACAAAAAAGGATAAATGAAAATATATTTATATATGAAAGTAAATTGTTATATCTTGCTTTTAACCCTACAAAAAGAGCTTGAAACTCACTGTTGAAACAGGTGTCATTGATCCTGATGTTGTAGTTCCATTAGGTCTCATAGGAACAGGAACAGGAACCCTTCCATTGCTCATCTGTATTAAAAAGAATTGTTTATATATATAATATAAAAGTAAAATATAAGAGTAATTTACATTTGTTTTGTTGAACTCACATTGACATTTGTAATGTAGTGACAAACTGCACATTTAACAGATGGAGCACCAAATGGATACATTAATGTTGTTCTACAATTGCCACAATTTACTTGAGCAAGCTGATTAGAAACTGCAAAAAATAAAAATAAATAATAATAATAAGTGAATAAAGAAAGGCATGGAAGAGTGTTTTTATTATTTAAATATGATTTATAAGTATACCTGGTGCAAGATTAACAGTATGACAACAGGAACATCTCACACTTGTAGCACCACGTGTGTACATTAGCAATGTTCGACAACCTCCACAAATAAGTTGATCCATTTCTATCCCTGAAAAGGTTTTATTTAAAACCAGTTTCAGCTGATTCAAGTAAAATCCAAGAACCCACTAGAAGATGCCTTATGAAGAAGAAGAAGAAGAAGAAGAAGAAGATGATGCTCGAAATCACCAAAATTGTAACAAAGGCGTAAGCACAAAAAGAAAAACTTCTGGTGTTGATTTAAAGCTTATGGCACAAGTTATATAAATAAATTTATATGATTAAATTAACCCGACAATCTTAACGTTTATCCTTCAAAATCCGTGTTCATTTCGTGTGTCTTATGATATACGAGTTCTTCTTCTACGTTTCTATCTCCTTCTATAGTTGTTTACGCGTCCTTTGACTGATGTAGCAGACGTTGACTTTTTACAGAAACAACTTGTTGATTACGTTTAATTGTTGAATTAGTCATGTAGTATTAGAAAAAAGAAAAACAAAAAGTAACAGTTTTAATTTGTCGTAATTTGTAAATTTTGGTTCGATCGTGTCTCAAATAAATTCAGTTATTCGATAAATCTTACCAGGAGGAGGAACCGAGGTAACGGCATTACACAGGGCACAGCACACATTAGAAGCTCCTCTAGGGTAAAGCAAAATGCTTCTACAACCACTGCATACGATTTGACTCTGCATATTTCTGTGAAATTCAGCGAGTACAAAATTAGGCTGAGTTTTTGCCTAAAAATAGAAACTAGAAATCAACTTTTTTGATCTTCATGAATCATGAATTCATCCATGGATTCTTTGTTCATACAGATTAAATAAAATTCTCAAAATCCGACACAAGCAAGCGCACCGATTGCAGTAACTGAATCAAATTTAGTAATTGTTCAATACTCTCGAAATTATTGATTAGATGATATTGGATAAAAGTGAAAATTACCTGGTTAGATGAGGAGATCTAGAGGAGAATGGTTTGATGGACTACTTTGACTTTCTGTGTAGAGAATTTACTGGCCATGGAAGAGCATCGATCATCGCGATGAAAAGGGAGCAAGAGAGGGATTTGTGTTTGTGGACAAAAAGAGCATTTTATAAATAATCAAATTAAGATATTTTAGGTTTAATTTTCTTAAATACTAGATAGCTTTTGTCCGGTAAAATTCTTTTTTTCTTCATTGAAAAAGAAGTTTATTTGATTTTTGTAGTCATGAAATTTATTCAAACTTCTTTAAATGTTATGCTTGAAAATCTATAAGAATCATCTAGAAAAATATTTAGCAGGGTAATTATTTGTTTGTATTTACGTAATATATATATATATATATATATATATATATATATATATATATATATATATATATATATATATATATATATATATATATATATAAAGAGAGAGAGAGAAAGAAAGAGAGAGAAAAAGAGAGTAAGTTCAATTGAAAAAATAAAAAATATTGAGAATGTGAGAATCATTCTCAGCCAATCATTTATCTAACATGTTCAAATTTAAAAAAAAAATGTGTGTGTCCATTTTCATTAAGGGTATATTTGTAAATTAGCAACTTTTTTACATAGAATTACCTGTTCGTTGTTGTTATCAGTTTCCAATTTGATGATATATTTAGCTCGTTTGAATCGGATATGAGGAATTCATTATCAAGATTATTTTCTTTATATAACTCGTTAGCAATTATACGTATTCATTCCATTAATCGTGAAGTTTCGCCTCTTTGTTTCAGTTTTCTACTTCGTATTCAGTTTCCGATTTGATCAGGTATGTATATCGTTTGAATGGGATAGATCGGAGTTCATTATCAAGATTATTGCTATTTATAATCTGTTTAGAATTACGCTTATTATCTTCGTTTTGGAGTTGTTTCATCGGAGTTCATTATCAAGATTATCAAGTTTCGAATATGTATTGGAGTTATTTCATCGGATTTTTGTTAAGTAGTTTGAGATATTTATTTCAAATCGGAGCTGATTTAATTTTTAATCGGATAAATCGTAGTAGTTTTTACGCTCTGAACTGAGAGATATATTCGAAATTAACCAGGTTTTCATCTTTACGACTTTTTTTTGTGAGATATATTCATATTAAGATTGTTTTTGTTTATTAATATAGATAATTTGGTGTATTATGTCGAATTCTAGTGTTATTGATGGTGATTTGTATTCTTCTATGAGTGAGAGTGAAGAAGAAGATGTTGAGAACTCATTTTTTGAAGGTATAATTTATTGAATTATTTTGTTGTTTTTAATTTTGTTGATTATCATTTATTTACATATGAATACGTTAATATGAATAAATTGTTGTCTTATTCATATATGAATAAACATGTGATAATTGTAATTTCAAATTTATTATTTTTTTCATTTTATTCATTTATGAATAAGTTATGTTTTATTTTATATACTTTGAATCCTCATGAATTTTATGTATTCATATATGAATGTTTTTTGTTTTATTTATATGAGTTTCATGTATTCATATGTATTATTGTTTTATTCATGCATTATTATTTTAGGTGGTGAATCTTCAAGTTCGGTACATGATACACTATATTGTGATGATATAATTGGACAACATGTCTATAAACCAAATGTACCTGTTCAACTTATTTCATTTAAGGGTTTAATCTTCAAATCATTAAAGTTGGCTATAGAAATGTATTTTGAGTAAGCTGAAGTTGGTGGTTTTGATGTTAGACTGAGCACACAGTCAAGGTTTGATAACAAGATTATAAAGAAGAAACATGTTATATGTAATCGTGGTGGTAAACAGAAAAAGAAATCTTGTGACACATTAGGTACAAGTTGTGTTAGGAGGAAACGAAATTCAAATTCAATATCTATTGGTTGTCAAGCAAAGATTATATTTGAATCTGTGTATGGAACTCCAGATTATAAAGTTTTTCAGTTTGATGAACTTTACAACCATCCACTTGAGAAGAGAAGCGATTTAAATAAAGCAAGACAAATGTCATATTCAAAAAAAGAGTTTATTGTGCGTGCTTCCACATAAAAATAAAAAAAAGTCCAACTATGGCTCATAAGTTGAGGGCAAGTCTAAGAGGTGGGTATGAGTTTGTAAAGCCCAAAGTAGTTGACTATAAAAATTTAAGGAGAGATATCAACAGGGTTATTGGTTATAAAGATGCCTAAATGATAGTAAACACAATGAATGACCGTCGAGCTCACTATCCAAATTACCCATTTGAGTTTAATTGTCAAGATGATGTTTTGGACTGTATGTTTTGGGCTGATGAAATGGAGAAAACATATTATGCTGAATTTGGTGATGTTATCTCATTTGATGCGACTTTCTGAACAAACAAGTAAGTTATTTTTATCTACTTTTGTTTATAGCTTATTCATATATGAATATGAATATTTTTATATTCAGTTATTAATACATCAAAAATTGACTTTAATGAACATTTTTTTGTGTGTTAGGTATCGAATGGTTTTTGTTCCGTTTACTGCTATTGACCATCATGAAAAATCAGTTATTGTTGGATCTGGGTTGCTAAGCAATGAAAGCATTGAGTCTTACTCTTGGTTGCTTAAAGAGTTTCTTAAAACTCATGGGAAAGAACCAACACTTGTTTTAATCGTTCAAGATGCTGCAATAAAACAAGCTGTTGAGAATGTGTTTCGTAATTCAAAGCACCGATTATGTATGTGGCATATAATGAAAAAGTTGAAAAAAGGTATTATTTTAATATATTTCAAATATATTACTTATTAGTATATTCATTAATGAATATTGACTGTTCTTTTATGTAACGCCTGTGTTTCTGGGCTTGCCATTTTTAGCAATGTGATAGTCTAGGTTAACCTTTGTAACCCGTTTTGAAATAATATAAGTGTATTATTTGAGTATTATGTGTTTTGTGCTTAATTGCTTAATTATGTGGTTTGATTAATTAAGAATAAAAATAAGCATCAAAATTTAAGTGTAAAATAAACTTGATATCTTTAGATAATGTTGTAGTAGTTTAAACAAGGTTTCCGAAGATATAAAGAATGCCGAAATCCGAGTTATAACGAGGAAGTTATAACCTGTCGAAGTTTCGCGACAGAACCGACAACGCTGATTAACGTAAAAAGTGAAATTTACGTTAGAGCGATATTTAGCCTTAATGATCTAAACGAGAATCGAAGATCTCGTTGTTAGTATCAAAGAAATAAACAGTTAGGCAAGAACGGACGTCAAATGAAGAAGTTATGAATTTATAACGAAATTTTCTGTCCCGACCTATTAAAAATAAATAATAAAAATAAAGTCAAAATTAGCCGACGAAGTCTAAAAAAAAGTTGTAGAGCGTAGTCTCACCTTCGCGTGGATATAAAGAACGTCGAAAACGGAGTTCGTATGAAGAAGATATGAATTTTCGAAGTTTATTAAATAATTAATAATTAAATTTAATTATTAAATAACGGCCTTATCCGAAGACGAGTCACCGGACTCATCCGGAGTACACCCAGCGTACTCGAGTACGCCCCGCATACAGCCAGAGTGTCGACACTTCGGATGACGCATGCAGTGACGCATTTCGGAGCCTGTACGCCCCGCGTACTCCGAGGCATCAGCCTCCTATAAATAGGATGCGAGGGGTCCGAGTATTCTTGCTAATTTCTTCTCCTCTTTGTGCCGAAGCTCTGCGTTTTTACCCCCAAAGCCACCCCGAAGCCCCGGTATCATTCCTGAGTCTCGAAGCGAGTCCCGAGATCCCGAAGATCCCGAGAAGTGCGGTTTCCGAGCCGAAGCTCTGCCCGCGAGAAGTTCGATTTTCGTAGAGATCTTCCAGATCTGCTGAGGATTACGACTTCTGCAAGCCGTAGTGTTGTCCGATCATCTTCTGATCAAGTGAGTGTGTAGTTACTTTCTTCTAACGCATAATTATGAAGTATTTTATACGAAATACGTGTTATGTGTATAGTTTTGTTGTTATGTACGTGAATGTATATTCACTCTCTTTAATCTCATAGATCCGATTTGTTTTCTATGAAATACGTGTTATGTGGGTATGCCTCATCTGTTATGTGGAATATATATTGAATGAAAATGATATACAGGTTTTAAACTATGTATAAAAATGTATATTTTTATCTACTAATATGTTGGGTAGAACATGGGTAGATAGTTGGTGTGTAATAAACAGATGAGAGGCCTCGATGTTGTTGTTGTTGTTGACCTAGTTATTCAGCGGAGTATGGATAACGACCACAGACTCCTTCTAGACAGTCTCGTGGAACGCTAGCAGGTTCATAACCTGTAGGTGTTGTGAACGATGTGTTCACCGGTGTACTCTATCCCCCTCATGGTTGCCTTAGGATATCTATTGTTGAGGAAACCCCTTGGCTGTAATGTCCGTCCCGATGAAAATCCTAGATTAGGTCCCTTGAGATAGATGTTGTTTTAGGGACGTAAAGTGAGGATAACAGGAATGGGTAGTCGGGATAGTGATTGGTTGGTGAAATTAAATATAATTTATTTATTGTGGGTTGAAAACCCTATATGCTCACCAGGCTCCCAAGCCTGACCCACTCAGTTTTATTTGTATTACAGGAAGTGGCGCAAGGGCGTAAGATGGACGAACCATCAAGTTGTTTTGTTTACAAGTCTGTATATGTATATATTTATTGAATGACTTGTAATGTTATTGTTTATGCTTAATGGTCTGTATCGGAACATGACACCCCGAGTTTTAATTATATAATGAAAATGCATCTCTTGATGAAATGCTTTATTTTATCATGTTTTGTTTTGGGAACAAATTCCGCAACTCTTTCAAATCAAAAGGATTTACTCTGAATTTATTTTAAAAGCATAAATGAAAATCGGTCTTTTCTGGCCGTGATTTTGGGGATGTCACAGTTGGTATCAGAGCATTAGTTTAAGCGAACTAGGAATTTGTAGGATTTCTAAACTTAAACTTAGAATGCTAAGTGGAATTTGAGAGGTGTGTCTGTTGGATTTTAGACACAAGCACTAGTTTATTTTAGGAACGTTGCCTAAAATGCTTTTATGTGCTAAATGTTATATGTTGCCATATATGATATTATTTGTTCGAATCTACAGTTTGTTGCCAACCGGATCTGAAGGTTTATGTGTTTAGGATTCTAAGCGTATGTATACGATATTAGAACTAGCATGTAATCGTTTGGAGTAATAAGGTGAAATTATTCGGTGTGTAGATCAAAAATGGTGAGAACAAGGAGTGGTGTTGGAAACGCGGATGAAAACAGGAATCAATCACCAGTGATTGAGCAAATACCTGTTGTAGTAGCAGCACCAGAACAGATCACCATGGCTGGAGTGCAAGCCATGATTCGGGCTATGTTAGCCGAACAAAGGGAGGAGATGCGACAAATGTTGCATAATAATAGGGACGAACCTGTCATACCTATTGAGGAACCTGAATTGATTCCCGAGCAATCGGAGGAAGGGAACAATAGTCACATTTTGAGTCAAGTTGGGACTCAAGAAGAACGAAGGAACAATCCGAAAAGGAGAAACAACAACGATGGGCGAATGTACAAGAATTTCTTGGGCGCCAAGCCTCCAAGTCTTTCTGGGAGCCCAAAGCCTGTTGAAATAATGGATTGGAACTCCGAAATGGAGATGGTATTTGAAAGTTGCGACTGTAGCAACAAACAGAAGACTATCTTTGCAGTCAGACAACTGAAGACTGGAGTATTAAGTTGGTGGAAGTTGTTGGCAGATACTATGCCACAAGGGAAAGCCCTGAAAATGTCATGGGAGGAGTTCTTGGAACAGTTAAGGGTGCAATATTGTTCAGAGATAGATCTGATTGATCTGAACAATGAGTTCCAAAACTTAAAGAAGGGGAGGATGAGCGTAGACGACTATGC